CGTGATGGAACAGCTACTGGAACGCCCAGGCGCGTTACCAGAGGGATCCGGGCTGGGTCTCCTCTTCGCGACCGCGTGCGCGTTTCTACTTCGCCTCCCGTCGGAAGCGCTGGTCATCCAACGGGCCGCCTCGCTCGACGACGCGTCACATTTACGCGCGGGCCTTTTCATCAGCGAAGAGGCGGCCGTCTCATCGCTCGCCAGACGGAAGAGCCGGGAAAGACGGACAATTATTGTGCGCAATTGCTGGTGTCAGCGCTCACGCGCCACGTGCCCCGTACACGCTCTCGGCGCGCGGTTCAACTCGCAGTCCGTTGGAGAGGCCCCGTGGCCGGGCTGGTGCGCCGCGGGTGTACGTAACGCGCTGCGGTCGGCACTGCGTCGCACGGGGGTAGTTAACGCCGACGCCTACGGCACCCACTCGTTCCGTCGGGGCCACGCCCAAGACATTGTGGAGTTCGGCGGCCGAGTCACCGACATCCTGAAGGCAGGTGACGGGCAGATGCCAGCTTGGATGCGCTATCTTGACGTTGAGGAGATGGAGCGCCAGGCCGTCGCCGAGGCGCATTTCGGTGTGTCGTCCAGTGACGACGAGGGTGGGGATTCGGAAACCCCCGGCGTCCAGCGACGTCATTCCACGCTTGGTCGGTGCAAGTAACGTCGCGCCAGGCCCCTTCGCACGCTCGTTCGCCCTCGTTCGGTCCATCGGTCGCTCTCTCGCGGGCCACGCGTCTGCGGCCGTCTCTCTGCCTGGCATTGGGTGGCAGCGTGCCTGCGGGTGCCGCAGGCCCGCTGTGTGGGGCAGCGCTCGGCCTCAGCCCCTGGGTCCGTGGCAGTGGGTATGGTACCCATGTGCTTCGGCCTGCGCCCTGGCGCGCCAGCCGCCTGTGTCGTTTGACGCGGTGGGCTGGCGTGTCGGCTGTTGGCGCACGGCCGCGGCCTCACCCAGATTCCCCCCTCTGGGTGGCATCGCGGTCGAACGTCGCCGCGAAGGAGACTTATGGGGCAGTAATAACTTGTTATTGCAAGTCATAAGTCGACGCCCCCAGGCGGGAGTGCCCCGCCGTCGGCGCACCGCGCGATGGCGGGCGCCCGCATGTCCACCCGCCACGCGCCGCCGCTACGTCGGGCGGGCCAGGCCCCGCGCGGGCGTGCTGGCGTGCCGCGCGGCCGTGCGTCGGGGTCCTTCCTCCCTCCGCTCCTCCGTGCACAGTCGCGATGTCTCCTCTTTGCCGCCTGGCCGCGGGGCGGGATATCAAGTGCCCGGTCATGTCTGCAGCGCCCCCACCTGCCTAGTGTGCACTCTTAAGGTGGGGCGGCTGGCCGGGGTGTGGTCCTCTGTCTGCCAGCGCGCGGCTCTGGACCAACCCTGGGGGCGACGCGCGGGGCGTCCGTTCGCCAGAGTGCGTCGGACGCGGCCGCGGTCGCGCTTTTTTTCTCCCACCCACCGCCCTCGAGGGGGGGTATATGGGGGTATGGTATCCATGTGCTTCCGCCTGCGCCCTGGCGCGCCAGCCGCCTGTGTCGTTTGACGCGGTGGGCTGGCGTGTCGGCTGTTGGCGCACGGCCGCGGCCTCGCCCAACGTTGTTTGGGTGCCGTAGTCCCCCCTCTGGGCGGCATCGCGGTCGAACGTCGCCGCGAAGGAGACTTATGGGGCAGTAATACTTGTTATTGCAAGTCATATGTCGACGCCCCCAGGCGGGAGTGCCCCGCCGTCGGCGCACCGCGCGATGGCGGGCGCCCGCATGTTCACCCGCCACGCGCCGCCGCTACGTCGGGCGGGCCAGGCCCCGCGCGGGCATGCTGGCGTGCCGCGCGGCCGTGCGTCGGGGTCCTTCCTCCCTCGGCTCCTCCGCGCACGGTCGCGATGTCTCCTCTTTGCCGCCTGGCCGCGGGGCGGGATATCAAGTGCCCGGTCATGTCTGCAGCGCCCCCGCCTGCCTAGTGTGCACTCTTAAGGTGGGGCGGCTGGCCGGGGCGTGGTCCTCTGTCTGCCAGCGTGCGGCTCTGGACCAAACCTGGGGGCGACGCGCGGGGCGTCCGTTCGCCAGAGCGCGTCGGACGCGACCGCGGTCGCGCTTCTTTTCTCCCACCCACCACCCTCGAGGGGGGGCATGGTACCCATGTGCTTCGGCCTGCGCCCTGGCACGCCAGTCGCCTGTGTCGTTTGACGCGGTGGGCTGGCGTGTCGGCTGTTGGCGCACGGCCGCGGCCTCACCCAACGTTGTTTGGGTGCCGTATTCCCCCTCTGGGTGGCATCGCGGTCGAACGTCGCCGCGAAGGAGACTTATGATGATGATACTGATGATGATGATGATGCTGATGATGATGCTGATGGTGATGATGACGATGATGATGATGCTGCTGATGATGATGATGGTGATGGTATTGATTGTGACGTTGGTGCTGATGCCGATGCCGATACGGATGATGAGGCTGGTAATGATGATGAAGGGATGGCGGTGGCGATGACGACGACGGTGATGGCGATGGCCGTGAGGGTGATGATGATGATACGACGATGGCGATGACGGTAATGATAATGGTGACGGTGATGATGCGGATGGTGATGTTGGGTATTATGTTCAGTGTTATGATTATGATGGTGGGGTGGTTATTGCGTCTGGTGTTGCTCATGGTGGTGATTGTTCGGATCGTGGTGGTGACGATGATAAAGGTAAGTGTGGCCCTGATGATGGCAATGATGATGTTGATGATGGTGTCGGTTGGGTGTATGATTGCGATGGTGGTGATTGTGATGACTACGATGCGGGCCGAGAATGTCTGGGACAAGGAGGGGGAGGGCACGTGCGGTGGAGGCGACCAAGTTGGGAGGGGTGAGAGGACGACGGCGGGTGAACCGATGAGGAACCGATGGGAGAGGAGGAGAAGGATGAGGAGGAGGAGGAGGAAGAGGAGGAGGACGACGAGGAGGATGAGGAGAAGGAGGAAGAGGAATAATAACCAGAGGAGAAAGAGAAAGAGGAGGAGGAGGAGGGGAAGAAGAACCAGAGGAGGAGGGCTGCCGAGCACGCAGGCTTTCAGGGCACCAAAACCCATCTTTAAGGATGGGGCGACCTTCAGAAGCGCATTGTTCCGCAACCCACTGCCTAAAGCAGCGTGCCCCTGCAGGAGGGATAGTTTCAAGGACGTTCGGAGGTTTCATCTTTCAAGTCGCGAGTATGGCAGAAGCCAGTGCGCCCTGACTTGGTTTCAGCCATACGTCGGCAGGACAGCCAGTTGGGCTGTACTGGTGCGCCATGGGGGCTAACAGTTTCCCATGTTACTCTTTTCTGCCAGCCCTTTTGGGCCCCCAAACAAGCTGCGGCATGTTGGGAGGGGGGTGTCGCAGAATCGGGGGGGAAACCATCGCCTGAGCATTAGGTGTGCGGTGCGGAAAAGTACTCTCATGGGAAACGTCCAGGGCCGTATGTGAGCGCTTCCCTCACAGCTCACCCCACAGGAAGTTAAGGGTGAAGCCAGTTGGACAGCGACCGTTCAGGTTGCCACGGTCAATGCCGACCCTACGGCTGACCGAGGGGATTTGCTCGCACAGACGCGGGCAAGCCCACCAGGTGGGATAGCAGTTGCCGAAGGATGATTAATAAGTTAGCTCCTTGCCACAGCTGAGTACAAATGAGAAATCCCGTCACATGGGCTAGCTGAGGCTTGCGAATGGGGTGCGATGCATTTTCTCCGAAGGCCTCAGGAGGCCTTCGGGGGCGCAGCAATGTCTGGTAGTTGAGGGCCTCCGACTGTTCGCCCAGACGACGCACGCGTGTTCGCCGAGAAGATGAGGAGGAGGACGGTACGTCTGGAAGGGCGGGGGGGGAGGGGGGGGAAGGGAGGGGGGGAAGGGGGGGGGAGACAGAGGAGGGGGAGGAGGAGGAGGAGGAAAAGGAAAAGGAGGAGGAGGAGGAAGAGGATGATAAACGGGGCAGGAGGGGGCAGGAGGAGGAACGGAACGGGACGGGGGGGGAGAGCAAGAGGGGGTGGGGGCAATCTAGGTGCGCTCGCGTCATATTTGACATCCTACCCCTCCCTCCCATCCCTTACCATGGTGTAGATCCCTTCTCTACTCGCACAGTCGGATGTCGAGCAGGGCAATGATCCCGAAAGGGTGCGCGATGCATTGTAGAGCACGGCATGGCATGGCGTAGAAGAGCACCGCAAAGCGTAGTATGTCACAGCATGGCGTGGCGTGGCGTAGTGAAGAATTGCGTGACAAAGCTTTGCAACGCAAAGCATGGCATCGCACAGCGGCCCCGAACAGAACATTGCATAGCATGGCGTTGCAGATCAAAGCGCAGCATGGCATAGCACGACGTGGCACTTAAGCACTGCATATCACAGCTTCAGCTGAAGGCATGGCATCGCGCAGCGGAACGCAACCTAGCATTGCATTGCATGCCTTGGCATGGCACGGGAAATGACGCCAGCGCTGCAGCGGGAGCACGATTCGGAACGAGCGGAAGCGCGGAAATGAGGCCAGCGCTGCAGCGGGAGCACGATTCGGAACGAGCGGAAGCACGGAAATGAGGCCAGCGCTGCAGCGGGAGCACGATTCGGAACGAGCGGGGCCCGAAAATGAGGCCGGCGCCTCAGCGAGAGCAGCATTTTGGAAAAAAATGCAGGCGAAAACCCAACTCCGGGGAATCCTGTGTGTAAAAAAAAGTACGCGGGGGGGGGGGCGAACACTCCCAACCCGTCATCAGGGGAAGGAGGAGAGTAGTATTCATATTGAGTAATTGTGGATGAGGAGGGTGAAGAGGATGAGGAGGAGGAAGGGGAGGAGGAGGAGGAAGAGGAGGAGGAGAAGTATGCTGATGAGGAGGAGGAGGGGAAGGGCGAGGAGGAGGAGGTGGGGAGGAAGCATAGGGAGGAAGGATGGTTAGAGGGTGTGCGCCAACGTAGAGGCCGCTGTCGTTTTCGCAGGTCCGGCGGGGGGAGAAGACGCCTCACCAGTTCTATTTCCCCTTCTCGGGTGCCGCACCGCGAGGCGTCTCCTCGTCATGTGGGGTGCACGGGCCCTTCGGGGTGATCCAGCAGCCGCAGGGCGCACCTACGATGCAGGCAACCTCCTACCCCTCTTCGTCCTCCTCCTTCCTCTCCCTCTCTGCCTACTTCCTGCTCCTCGTTCGCTTCCTCCTCCTTCTCCTCCTCGTTCCTCCTCCTCTGCCTCCTGATCCTCCTCCTGTTTATCCCCCTCGTCCTCCATGTTCCCTGCTGCCCTGCTGTCTTCGCCTCCTCTTCCTGCCTCTTGCTCTCCCTGGTTCTCACTTGTCCTTCCCCCTCGTCTGTCCCGTTCCTCCTCCGCTCTTCTACTACCCTCTCGTCATCCATTCGATATTGTCAGCTACCCCTTCCTGAAGAAGCTGAGGAGGAGCAGGAGGGGGATGGGGAGCAACCATACGAAGACACGGCGCATGAGGACGGGGCAAAGCTGGATTTTCAGGAGGCGACGGAGGAGGGAAGAGGGAGGAAGCGGCCAGCATGTTGATATAAGGGGGTGGGAAGGGCGGAGGGAGGATGGGCAATGGGAGGACGGATGATTGGTGGTGGTGGAAGGAGAAGGGCAGGAGGCGAAGGAGGAGGAGGAATGTGAGACATGATCGTTCGCATCCGCGGGGTGCGACTTGGTGGTGGCCTTACTTAGTCGCCTCACAGGCACCTGGCCAGTGCTGTGGTACTTGCGTGGGTGCACTACGGGCAGGCCGGTGAACCGAGATCATTGGACCGGGTTGTATGTGCCAGGCGTGTGTTGAAAGCCGTTGCGCCCTAGATGACTTCACGCTGGCTTCACCACCCTGTCGATTGTTTATTGAATCGCTTCGCTCATTCCGCCGGCCCATTTCGCATGACAGAGCCTCTTGGGGCCGCTGGGGGGCCTCTTCAGCGTCGCTTGGGGGCCTCCTGAGGGCCTCTTGAGGGCTTTTGGGACCTCTCAGGGGCCTCTTGAGGCCTCCTGGGGGCTTCTTAAGGCCGAGGGCTCGAAGTTTTGTTTTGTGTTCCCCCTTTGGGGCATCGCTTGGGGCCCTCTTGGGCCCCTCTTGGGCCGTCTTGGATGCCTCTGGGGCCGTCTTGGAGCCCTCTTGGGCCATCTTGGGGCCTTCTTGGGAGCTTCTTGGGCCCTCTTGGGGCGATCTTGGGGGCCTCTTGGGCCGTCTTGGGGCGTCGGGAAGCCGAAAAGATGGACACGCCAAAATCTGCCCAAAACCTAAGGAAAAGTAATGAATTTTGCCTCTTGGGGCCCTCTGGGGAGTGCTCTTGGAGGCCTCTTGGGGCGTCTGGGGGCCATCTTGGGCGTCTTGGAACGATCGTGTGGCATCTCGGAGCACTCTTGAACCATCTTGGAGGGCTCTTGGCGGCCTCGTGGCCCTTCTTGGGGCTCTCTGGAGGGCCACGGGGGCGGCGCCCAGGAGGAGAACCACCTCTGACCCGACCCTGCCGGGGATCGCCCGGGGTACTTTTCGTCCGGGGACCCCCACGGGCCGCCCCGCGCGCGCGAAGTAGAAGTATTATTTAGCAGTTACCGGAGATCTTAGCACGCCTCTGGCCCGTTGGGCCGGCGAATTATCGTCGTCCTGAGGGTGTCCTCGGATGATCCTACAAGTTAGCCAGCGTGGACCCCAAATAGTGATTTTCCTACCATACGCGGTGCAAGCGAGGTGGCGCAATCTGGGTGGTGCAATCCATGCGGTGCAATCTTTACGGTGCACAGCAATACGACGGCATGCAATGCGATTACAACGCAATACGAAGCAGCAGTGCACAGCAACGCAGCACAACACAACGCAATGCAACACATGCAAAGGACTGCAACACATTGCAAAGCAATGCAACGCGCTGCAACGCAGTGCAAATCAATGCAAAGTAACGCAAAGCATCGCATAGCACTGGAAGGCAACGGAAGCAACGCAAAGCAACGCAATGCAATGCAAAGCAATGTACAGTAATGCACAGCAGTGCAAGGGAGCGCAAAATGCTAATCAATGTAGTGCAACGCAGAGTAACGCGACAAAATGCAAAGTGATGCACACCTAGACGGCGACCGGGCGGCGACGGTGACCACTTAGCCGTCAGGCTGACGGGCAGGCCCAGAGCGACGGGGCGACGACGGCGATCACATAGCTGCTAGTGCGACAGGTCGCCGTTTTTTTATCATTGTGTCGCCGATCGGCGCTGGCCCCCACCCGCTCGGGCGACTGGTAGAAGCAGATGGACTGAGCACGTTGGCACAGACTCAGACCTCCCCCCTCCCCCACCCTTCGGCCAAATCTCGAAACCCAGAGCATAAAAAACGCCTGCCAGGCAGGCCCAGAAGACGGGCGGCGACGGGGCGGCGACGGCGACCAGATAGCCGCTATACCGACGGGTGGGCCCAGTTCCGTAAAAAAGAAGTAAGGACCTCTAAGTGCAATCACTGTTTGGGGAATATCCGTTCTACTGTTGAACCCCCTCGTTGTCGTTCCCCTCCTCGCTTTTCCCCCCCTTCCCCCCTCCTACTCGCCATCATCTCCCCCCTTTCTCTTCGAGGACAAGGACAAGGACGAACAGGAGAAGGAAGGAGCACTGATCAATCACCTCGTGTAGTCGGACGCCCTCCACATGCCGAGCAATTCACCATCAAATCCGCGGGTGACACCGCGCTGGATTGGCGGTTGCACCCCTTGTCCGCCGCAGGAAATGGATGAGGAGCAGTAGCAGGAGGAGGAGGAGGAAGAGGAGGAGACAATGATGATTCGGAGGAGGCTGGAGGACGGAGGAGGAGGATGACGGAGGAGGAGGAGGAGGAGGAGGAGGAGGAGGAGGAGGAGGAGGAGGAGGGAGGCAGGAGGAAGGCACGAGGGAGGAGGAGAACACGAGAGAGAGAGAGAGAACAGATCGGAGCGAAAGAAAATACCATACGTAGCCAACGAACAACCAGATTGCCCGCCGCGAGGCGGCCCCGCCTCAGGGGATGCCGACGCCGGGGGTGTACGCGTCGCCGGCCATGCCGGCGCCAGCGCCGATGAGCGCGCCAGCGCCCCAGGCGGCCTTCGCCGCGGCGCCCCAGGCCAGTGCCGGCGGCGGCCTCGCGAGTCCTCGCCACGGGGCCGGAAGACGAGGACGCGGTGGTCCCCACGCGAGGACCGCAGCCTCCAGCCCCCTCCCGCCAGGGGGCTGGAGGCTGCCGTCGGCTCCGTTTTGGACTGCAGGGTCTCGTGGGTTCCAGGCGGCTCTCCTCGGTCCCTGGCGGGTCCAGGGCAGGCCCCAGGGGGGGTCCAGGGCTGGTCTCTCGCTCTGCTTTCGGGGGCGACGCCGCCGTGGTCTGCTGCGGCCTCGCGGGTCCTGGTGAGGTGCCCACGTTCCGGGGGGGGGGGGGGGGCAGGCTCGGAGGGGAGTGCATCGGGCCCTCGGTCGCCCACGGATTGCCGATGGGGGCCCGGTGGTCCACCCCGCACAGGAAGGCGCGCATTCGCTATCGGGGACCTGCAGCCGATCTGGTGGCGATCATCGCCGATTCCATATCTCGGGGGAAAACAAACCTACCTCGCTTTTGACCACCCTCGCTTCCAAGAGATACCAAACGATGCCAAATTGCGGCCTGTACTGGTCAGGCCGCTTGACGAGGAGGCGCGTGGTATGGCTTGGTTTTGCCTGGAAGCGAAAGCGGGGGAGGTAATTCACGCTCTAAATATCAGTGTTTCTCCCCTTGAGCCGGTCCCCCTTCTCGCGCTGCTCGGGGGCGCGTCGTCGTCGGCGGCGTCGTCGCGGGTCCTTGCGACGGGGATGGAGGTGAACCAGAGTTTTTTCTGTTGAATTGGGTCGGCTGGGTGACCCTGTGATCGGGTGATCTGGCCCTCTGACCTGGTGATTTGATGATCCAGTGACCCCGGGATTCGGTGATCCGCTGACCCATGGTGATCCGGTGATTTGGTGATCTAATGATCCGGTGATCCGACCCTTGATCCGCTGACCCGCCGATCTGGTGATCCGGTAATTCTTGTGATCCGGTGACCTGGTGATCCGTTGATCCGCTGACCTGGTGATCCAGTGATCCAGTGATCTGGTGACCCGGTGACCCAGTGATCCAGTGATCCGGTGACCCCGTGATCCGGTTATCCAGCCCTTTGACCTGGTGATCCGGTGCTTTGGTGACGTATTGATCCAGTGATCCGCTGACCCAGTGATCGGGTGATTTGGTGATCCTGTGACCCGGTGATCCGTTGATCCAATGCCTTGGTGACCAGTGATCCGCTGACTGGGTGTTCTGGTCAGCTGAGCCCGCTGACCTGGTGATCGGGTGATTTGGTGATCCTGTGACCCGGTGATCCGTTGATCCAGTGCCCTGGTGACCCAGTGATCCGCTGACTGGGTGTTCTGGTCAGCTGATCCGGTGACCCATGCAGTGGTCCGGTGGTCCGCTGACCTGGTGACCCGGTGATCCGTTGATCCAGTTATTTGGTGATCCGGTGACCCAGTGACCCGCGGGTCAGCGGGTCACAGGATCATCGCGATGTTCTGGCTGATCCGGTGATTTGGTCAGCTGATCGAACGACCCGGTGATCCAGTGGCCTGGTGTTGTGGCCAGCTGATCCAGTGTTCCAGCTGATCTGGCTGATCTGGCTGATCCGGTGATTTGGTCAGCTGATCCGGTGATGTGGTGATCCGGTACGCTGGTGTTGTGGCCAGCTGATTTGGTGATCCAGCTGATCCGGTGATCCGGTGATCCAGCTGACCATATGGTTCGTTAGGAAATGCATCGGGATCCTTGGGACATCCATATGATAATTCGCAAGGAATCCGATGGATTGTTTTGACAACTTGGAAGACGCATGCCAACTTCAAAATTCAACCGGTCACCGTTCAAGATTCAGTTGGGTTTCCAGGCCGTCTATGTTGGAAAACATCCGAAACACGCATGCCAGTTTCAAAATATAATCTCCCAGCCTTTCGTTCCCAGTCCAACATGGCCACTTTTCCATTGTGGGCAATACAGATATCGCCACGCGCGCGCTCGAACACGCGCGTGGTGAAGTTTGCATCGTCCACAATGGACACGTCTCCATGCTGGCCTGGACAGAACGTGAATCCCTAACGGTGACCAACGAGATTTCCGGTGACACGCCCGCGCGCGAGTCACCCGACCGCGCGCGCGCGGACGCGCGCGTTGCGAATTTTGCGTTTTCCACTCCACCATGGAAAAATCGTCACGTTCGCCTGGAAGCTAGACCTTAACAGTGATCGACTAGATTTTGAAGTTAACATGCGTGTTCGATGTTTTCTCAGGAATCCATGATAGTCTTTCGTGCTTACGATAGGGAATGTCCTCCGGATTCCGATGCATTTCCGAACAAATGATACAGATTGCCCATGGAATCCGTTGGAGTTCCTCTGGGGTCCCCTGGATCCCCCGTGGATTCTGTGGATTCCCTGAAGAATCCGATGGGTTTCCTGAGGGATCCTATGGATTTCCGATTGAATCCTAGGGGTGTCCTAAAGCGCCCTATGGATGTCCTAAGGAAGCCAATGGATTTCTTAAGGTAAGGGTTCCTATAGATGTCCGACATAATCCAATGGATTGCCCGAGGAATCCGATGGGTCTCTTAAGGCTTAAGGATTCCTAAGGATGTCCTCGGGCACCTTATGGGTTGCTGAAGGAATTCTGGATGTCCTAAGGTATCCGATGGATGTCTGAAGGAATCTGATGGCTTTCCTGCGGGATCCTATGGATTTCTTCGGGAATCATGCAGGTGTCCGCAGGAATCCCATGGATGTCCAAAGAAATCCGATGGATTCCCGAACGGACCTCGTTGATTTCCAGAGGGAACCTATGGATTCCAGCACGAATCCGATGGATTTCATAAGGAATCCGATGGCTTTCATAAGGCGTCGTATGGATTTCCGAAGGGATCCGATGGATGTCCTCCAAATTCCGATGGATTATCATAGGAATTCCATGGATGTCCCGTATGGGTTTCCGAGGGAATGCGTTTTGGATTGTCTAATGAGTCATATGGATTTCAGCAGGCATCCTTTTGCTGGAATTCCAAAGGATTCCGCCGATGAATGCCGTGAGGATTTTCTACGGGAACAGATGGACTTCCGAAAGCAAGTTTGAGGATGTCCAAAGGCATTCAATTGATTCCCGCAGGAATCCCATGGATTTCTTAAGGAAACCAATGGATGTCCTAAGGAATCCGATGGGTGTCGTAAGGATTTCTGTAGATGCCCTGAAGAATTCGATGGATGTCCCAAGAAATCCGATGGGTTCCCAGGGGAAATCTATGGATGTCCTGAGGCATCTCATGGATTACCAGAGGAATCGTTCTGGATTTCCGCAAGAATCCTTGTTTGATTTCTGAACGCATCATCGGATCGGATTTCCCAAGGCTTCTTCTACATGTCATAAAAAAGTCTTGCAGATCTCCTAGGGAATAGTTTTCTTCCTCCTTGCGCGCCAGGAGTCGCGCTCACGTTTAGGACTCCCTCACAGTTTATTGAGGAATAGGCATCTCGTTTCCCTTCGTACCCCTTTGCAGCCCTTCGTGGCCCCCTCGCTGCCCTTCGTGGCCCCGTTGCAGCCTTTTGTGGCCCCCTCGCTGCCCTTCGTGGCCCTGTTGCAGCCTTTCGCGGCCCCCTCGCTGCCCTTCATGGCTCCGTTGCAGCCTTTCGTCGCCGCTTCGCTGCCCTTCGTGGCCCTGTTGCAGCCTTTCGTGGCCCCCTCGGTGCCCTTCGTGGCCCCGTTGCAGCCCTTCGTCGTCCCCTCGCTGCCCTTCGTGGCCCTGTTGCAGCCCTTCGTGGCTCCCCCTCGCTGCCCTTCGCGGCCCTGTTGCAGCTCTTCGTGGCCCCCTCGCTGCCCTTCGTGGCCCCGTTGCTGCCATTCGTGGCCCCGCTGTCGCTCGCGCTTTCGCTCGTCGTCGTCGTCGTCGTCGTCGTCGTCGTCGTCGTCGTCGTGGTCGGTCCCCTGTCCGTCACTCTTGGGGTCGGACTGCCGCCGGTCAGCGTTGCCGCTGGCCAGGCCGACGGTCCGCGACCGCCCCGCCGCTTGCCGGGGCCCGGCCTGCAGGGAAGAAAGATATCCCCCCCAAAGGGGGTACGATCGAAGACGAAGAGGGCGGGTACGGAGGGTTCTGGAAATACACGTTGAGTGGCACTCGAGCAGATAAGAGCGAAGAATCTTAAACTTATTGATGTTGTGTTTGGTGTTGTTGATGTTGTGTTTGATGTTGTTAGTGCTGTTGGTGTTGGCGTTGTTGTTGTTGTTGAACATTATTTATTCTAAAGAATAATTATTGTTGGGCCCCCTGGTGCGCGCCCCCCCTGCGCCGCCTAGGCCGCAGCTACATTTTCATCATTTTCGTGAGGAAGCCTCAGAAAAGAGGGTGTGTACAGGATCCGGTTGTTTTGTTGTAATCCGCTTTCCCTTGCAAAAAACAATAGAAAATGACATTTCTTGTTCTAATATAATCAAATTTCAAGAATCCCTTGCAAAAAATAAGGTAAAGTGGACATTCGCGCGCGCAAGACGAAATCCTTCCAAAACCTTAGTGTTCGCAGCGATTTTAACATAAAAACATCAAAAAACCAATGGTTTTTCAACAAAAAACTGTCAAAATCTCATCCCGCGCGCTCTTGCGGATTCGTAGGAAACCCAACACTTTTTAAACATTTCTGTCAAACGGGCTTTTGCGAGCAACTTTTTCGAACTTCTGCGACAACGGTTGCGCACCTGCCAGGGCCATCATCCCTGTCAAATAATACCATGCGGGACACATTCGTTTTTTCTTCGCGCGCGCACGCCGTCGTCGTCGGCCGCGGGGCCCTGAATAGTAGCCACGGTCGTCCGCATGCCACGAAGTGAAGTGTCCGAACGTCATAGGGCGGGAAGCTGGGTGTGGGTGGTGGCGAAGAGTCGTTTGGAAATTTGGTAGAGCTTGAACCGGCCCCCCCACAAAGTGGGGGTATTGCCCGCCTCCTATGAAAACCCTGGCACTGGTGAGAACGGAGTGTCCCCACGTGCTAGTAATTGTTGTTGTTGAACATTATTCCTTCTAAAGAATTATTATTGTT